AGGCAAGGGCAGATGGTGCTGGGCAGTGGAACAGATCAGATGGATCTCTTCACAGTATCTCCTAGATGCTTGTTAATGGAATTAGCCCAAAAGGCATTATGTTAAATGGCTGTGTCATGTCCTGCGTTGAACTGTGCAGAGTACTTGCAGAAAATTCTGAAGTTCAATATAAAAAAGTAGATAGTTTTCCTGAAATGCTCTCTGGGTTAAGTGTGCACCATTTTAAGAAAAATATGGTTATTTGCAAACAAGAAAATAACTATTGCTCTTGCATCACTTTTGTCTGAGTAGGTGACTTTCACCTCACATCCATAACCTGGCGATGCTGATGCTCAAATTCTAAACTCTGAATTTCATTTCCATGTATCTGACATGGATAACATCCCTGCCCACAGCATTAGGAACTAGATGATCTTTAAAGGTCCCTTCCAACACAAACCTTACTATGATTCTGCAACCAAGGATAAAAACAGTAGTTCAAAAATGAACACTTTGAGGCTTTTTGAGTTAAGGTCCTGCTCAAAATTTTTCATGTTTAGCTTTAGGATTTGTAGCACTGACAACCACATGTATTTTTTAAAGTTCTTTGACTTCTGATCTTTTGAGACATTATAGCATTGCCCATTCCCTCTCAATATGGAGTATAGCAGTTTGATGATTGAAGAGGAAAATGAGGTTTTGATCTATTCATGTGATTTCTGTGGCTTAAAAATAGGAGTAAAAAGGAAATTGTCTTCAGTACATTACAAAATAGTTACAGCTGGCTATGGAATGCATCCTCCTGATGCAGGTTATTAATTGGCATGCAGTAAAGCAAATTCCATAAAATAAATGCTGAAGTACCTTTCTAGCCAATGGAGATGCGTATTTGAAGCCTTTAGGCAAAAGATTCTGTTCCAGGAGCTGAAGCTGAACTTCTTCAAGGTACCTGCCTTTATCCTTGGGTTGTCTATGGAACTTGCATTAGTGGGGCTTATTTACTAGACCCCCTACAAGGTAGGTAGAAATTATATGCCTGATTTAGGCACACTGAATCCCAGTTAGTGCACCTTGGGGAAGGGCACAGTATTTAAATATTTTTACCTGTATCTGGTGCTCAAGGTGAAGTGCAGAATTAACCATCTTTTAATGTGCACAGTAAAGTTAAGCTGAAAAACAAAAGAATATTTTGTGATGCACAGAAGTATTGCTCACTTTTAACATTATAGAGCTATGATGAGGTGGATTTTTTATTTTAAGTGATCTTTTTAAATGCTGTTTATCTTTTTAAGAAGCAATGGCACTGAGTCTATAAAAGTCACTAATTGCTGATTTTTTGTGACGACAAACTCTGTTATTGTACTGAACCTTCAGTTGTTCAGTGTTAGTTGTCTTTGCACTTTTACTGCCCTACCTATCCTGATAATGAAAATTTGCTGTATTGTGGGAGGTGCCTGTATTGACTTTAGCCGTCGTCTTTAGAGAGTGTGTGTGTATGTGTGTGTCTGTTCGTCACGTGAGATGAATAACAGAGCTGGCTGATCGCTGTGTCAGCAAGCTAAGTCCGTCTTCCATGACCATAATTCTCCAGCTCTAAACACACTTGACAGTTAGCCAGTGACCTTAGAAAGTCTTTTCATCTCTGACTCCACAAGTGGTGGCGTGACTGCTGGGATGGTGTTTTGGCAAGGATAATAATAGCTTAAAAGACATTGAGTTTAAAAGCAGACATCTAAATGCATTTGTCCAAATGACAAAGACGAGATAGTTCATGAAGTCTCACGCACAGCAGCAGTAACTGGTACATGAACAGTCACTGTTTGGCTTCTCTTCTGCTGGTTTCCAAATATTTTTTTCCCTGATCTTTGCTGTTTAAGTGAGAGAAACTGATGTCTGGTATTTAAGTGGATTCCAGGAGCTGGTAAAACAGTTGATAACACATTTCTTTATGTACAGTAAAGGGGTTTTATTCCATCCATCAGCAAAACCTCTAAGCATTTTTAATGGGATCTATGCTGCTGTCATGGTCTAATGCATTATAAAAGCAGAAAGGGAAAATGAATTATTGTCAGATTTTTGGTGGGCAGGGTAGTCTTTTAGAACTGCAGAGGGATTCCCTTGCTCTGCTGAGAGCAGCATGGATATGTGGGTGAATCCTGGTTTCATCCTACGCTCCTCACTTGGAGCTCAGCAACCTTTTGCTGCATGTTGTTTGTCATTTGAAGAAAGCTTAGGTCTGGGGATAATAGTAGTGAATGGGGTTTTTGGTAAGGTAGAAGAGGCTGATAATAAACTTAACCAAGACTTCTATCTTATGTTTCTTTTTCTTTATTTTTTTTTTTTTTTACCTGGGGGGACTGAGGGATGGAGTGCAGCAGCCATACTTTGGACCAGATTCTTTACAAGAATTGCATTCCACTTAGATTAAAAAATTGAGCATAGATTTAAGGGCAGTGTTTCTATAGCCCCTTGGCTCCAATCCATTAAAGATTATTCAATTTAAAAACTATGCCTCTGAAATTCATAGTGATTATAAGAGACTTAATGCTGACAAGAGCTTAGAGAGGGCAGTCACCTGAACATTCTATTGAGCTCTGATAGGAATGGGAATGACATATTCTTAGAATAGCTTTCTGGAGAGCCTAGGAAGCAAGTGAAGTGTACATATAGCAATTCTTACTCTTCAAAGCCTAGGACCAGGACAGACCACCTTGCAAAAATAGGTAGAAATGGATGTTGGCCCTTGCAAGGGCATTGTAACTATTCTCCATCATATAAACACAGGAAGATCCAAAAGAGATTTAATCTTGGATCAAGTCGTACTTCTACAATGTCCCAGACCACTGGGCGAAGGAGCAGGTAAAATGCGTCAATATTCAAAAGGAAAAATGAGACCAGTTTTCTGCAACAGAGCCTTGCCTCTGCAGCCTTCATGGTGAGCTGCCACATGCCAGCTCACACCATGCTGCATTCTGAGTGATGGTTTCTTGGTCGATATCTGGCCAAATGCCTCAGCTGCTCATTCAAACGATTCAGTGCAAATCAGTGAGATTTTCTAGACACAAACAGTTAATATTTCAACAATCTACTGCAGATGAAATTGCTGTGTCAGTTTGCACAGCAAAGAGAGCTGTTGCCCTTGTTCAGAAAATTCTATGCCTGGAGAGTTTTCAGACCTTCCCATTTCAATTATCTGAAAAATTCTGCTTTCAGATCAACTTTGAAATGTTCAGGATCTCTTTACGCCAGTCTTTTTTTGACATTGTTTTTCTAGTTTGAAAGAATCAAAGATGAAATGTGGAGTTTTCTGCCCCCTGGCAAACCTCAGGAGGCAGATTACTGCTACAGACTTTGCTCTGGTTCTGCAACTGTCCTAATGTATATAACTATATATTAGGGTAAGAGGTCATTGCTATCATTCACGTCTTTCTCAGAAACTTTTTGCTGGATGCTCTGTTTGCCCAAGCATGGTCATGCATGTGTGGATGCATTTTGGTATTCCAGCTGATTTTCCAAGGAGAAAAGCTGCACACTTCCCTTTTTTCCCTACATGGAGAATTTGTCATATTCCCAGAAAATGTCTACCTTGAAACATGTCAGTCCAATAACAGTGAAAAAAGCAGATAAAGTTTTGCACCACAGTTTAATTGAGCAAACCATATTTTTAAAAGAAGTGGTTTGATTCTGTAAAAAAAAAAAAAAAAGCATGCCAGCAAAGCACAAAAGGTTCTCAGTCCATGTCTGCCACTTTTGCCCCCACTCTTCTAAAAGAAGTCTATATCACCCAAAGGACGCAGTGCTGGGCGCTTGGCCATATCCTGGACTTGAATTCCCACGTAGAAGAGCATTTACTTAGGAAAATAATACCATGCGGCAGCCAGTAGGCATAATACTACCTCTGCTGCCAGAATGTACTGACTATAAATGAAGCTGTGGCAGATGGCCTGAAATGTTTCAGTGCTTTCTTTTCCAGACCAGGATTACCCGATTGATTTTGTACTATGGTGTGCTGGGTCATTTTACCAGGTTCTAGTCAGACATGTGGGATGCACAGGGTCTGCAGGTGGGGTAAGGGCAGCTTACAACCAAATCCCTGGGACAGCAGGCTCCTGGTGGGGCCAGATGAAAGAAGGAAGGGACCAGTAATGTGAAGAAATATGGGATCATGCCTCAGGGACAAAGCCTGTTGGAATGAGAAGAAATTGATTCTTGGTTCAAGTTGTGACTGAGTCCATGAGCAGTCCAGTTTTAGAGAAGGGTGGTATTTTACTTGGTAATGAAGCTTCTATATGCACTGTACCTGCAGAAGCAGCTTTATGTTACTGCTTATGAAATGTTGTCCTCATGCCTGGTACTTGGTAGATAGGGCAAAAGGCCAGTAGGACCTTTTTCTTGTGATTAGAGAAATATGTAGGTGAACAAAAACATTATTTTCATTAAGAATGTGGTGATGCATCGTGAGATTTGGTATAGCTTAGGCAAAATGTATGGGGAAGAAAACAGTCAAATGTCATCAATATTTTGTCATTTTGATAGAGAGAGGCTAGTGCAATCATTTTAGTTTGGCAGAAAAAAATGAGCAGTTATAATTCTGGTAGGTTTATTAGGAGTGACTTTAAAGTGTAACCTAGTAAATACAGCCCATCAAACCAGAATTAGGCCAGCTGCATATTACTGGAATAGCTCAAGGAAAATGTCCTTGTCTGTTCTATCCTCTTCTCTGGGTACATGTTTTCACTCAGTTAAGAAAAGTCAGTGGAATTGCATTTAAAAGTGTTGTCACTTCACAGTCTGTCACAGGGCTTTTGCCAGCTCCCTTCAAAAGAAGTTGGTGCCTATAACTGTGCCAGCTGGTTGATCAGATCATCCCGCTGCTTTACTAGAGAATCTAAATATACAGCAGTACGAGCTGAAATGTGTCTGCTGTCCTGTTTTGCAACTATTCTGCATTTGAATGAAGAACTACTTTCGCGTGAAAGCAGTACTGAAGCTCTCTCTATCTTTCTGTTCTATAGGTTGTCATTTTGTATTTTGAGCCAAGTGTATTTCGCTGTGTTCTCCTAAGATGGGTTCGTCTTCTGGGCTTTGCTACTGTTTATGGAACTGTGACGCTCAAGCTGCACAGGTATTTCACGTATTAATTTCCATCTCTGTGGGAGTATGTGCAATCTGCGTGGAATCTCAGATGGAAGAGCTGCAGATATTATCATAAACAAGTGCTGTTTCTGATTTTAAGACCACTGTGTATTTCTCCTCAATTTTCCTGTTCAAATTATATGCTACTAATTGCCAGTTGAGAGCTATGAATGAAGACAGGATATGATGAAAATATATGCATCAACTGTAAAATTGTGCAAGAACCCCTTTTCACAGAAGGTGAATGTATTTTCCTTGAATATAGAAAATACAGAAGTGTTCGTAGAGTGATTAAAAGTTTCCCTGTGAAGCATTCATAGAGAGATGCTTTTGAAGTGTTTAGGTACAGCAGTGGTGGGTAAAATAATAGACTACGGTGTATGTACTTACTGTGTTTTCTTATGGCTCTTAAGTCAAGGGCTGCTTTCTTCAGGCAATCACAGCAGACAGGTTACACACTCACAAGCATCAGTACCTGCCAGCAAAAATTTGTGAGAAATTCAGCTTTCCATGGGGCTGGCAGTGCATTCACATTTGATTCAGGGATTTAAGGTCTAGAGGCCCAACTGCAATTCCCACTTCTACAGTCCCTTTAAAAATTTAAGCCTTTTCTGTGTATGCTGTATAAAATCCTAATGCTTTTTCCTCTTGAAACTTTAATGAAAAAAATTACTGATACATTCTGCAAGTATTTTTATTCAAGCAAAGAGATAAGCAGTATATTGATGCTTGGACATATTGGATGAAGTACATTTGCTCATCTTTTTATCTTAGTTTTATTACTGTGCTGGCATGTTAGATAGAGGAGGTTTGATATTATGCTCATAAACTGAATAAGAACTAAAAATATCTTGTGTTTCATAATGCATATTGACTTGTCGCATTTTAGGTGGAAACCCCTGCTTTCCCACTGAGAAAGAGTCTCTTCTTGCAGCTTTTATTTGTGTCCCTGAGTACAAGCGTACACTTTGGCTACTAAACTCTGATTGTAAAGTGCTATGTCTGGCCACATCTTTGCATTGAAATTGATCAAGAAAATCCCACACTCTCATGGTATTTTCTGGGATGAACAATTTCTGATGCAAAAAGTATAACAACTAGAGCACAACAGACAAGAGAGAAAACAGTGACTTTGCTTGGATCTTTGTTATCTGTAACTCAAATATAGAGAAACAGCCTAAGACTGTGGGCAGTTGATGTTGTCATTGCAGTTCTGCTGTCCTACAAGGTCGTTATTTATATGATTTTGCATGATGTGAGGAAGCAGTTGATCTTATGAAGTGAGGGCAGGCTGCAAAATTGAGCAGGAAGTCTTGCACTCCTGCTTTGCTCATTCAGCTGTTTGGTGTTACTTGGCACCTGTGCTTGACAGGGTCATCAAACAGGACAAAGATTGAATAAGAAAACAAGAATTAACTACATCCTCATTCTTGATCAGCACAAAGCCATGAAGGCTAGCAGCAGACTGGGCTGTATCAACAGGGCAGTCACCATAAGGCTGAGGGAAGGGATTATTCTCCTTTATTCAGCATGCCTTAGACTATATCTGCAATGATGTGTTCAGACATCAGTGAACTTGGGTGAGTTCAGTGAAAGGCCGTTGAAATGGTCAGGGCTTGAAGCACTTGTTCTTCAAGGAGAGATTGAGGTTTGTTTGGCCTGGAGAAGAGATGGCATCGGAGAGACCTAACAGCAGCTATCCAACAGCTACAACGAGGTGGAGCCATGTTCTCTACAGCAATGTGTATGGGGAGAACAAAAGATAATGACAAATTGACATGGGAGATTTCAGTCTTATACAATATAAATTAATATCAGGGTCATCGTTATACGAGGAAAGCGTTTTCAGTGTCAGGGTGATTAAGCCATGGAGCTGAGGTTGCTCATGAGGTTATGAATTTCTGTACTTGGAGGTTTTTAAGACCCAGCTGGATAAAACTCTGAGCAACATGGTATGGATTCACTGTTAAGCCTGCTGTGAGCATTGGATGGCTGCCTGAGGTAATTACAATTTGAATAATTCTGTATTTCTTTGTGAAACGTGAAGAGGGAAAAAAACCTATTTAATATGTCATTCTAGAATTACTTTCTCTGAGAATCTATCTTTTGTTTTCCACACAGGTAACCTGACTATTCATTTCTTAGATTCATTATATTGTGAGAATTTTTGGTACAGAATATTTCAGTCACAGAGTGTGTCTTGCAAAAGACTGAGTCAAGTTAGATGTATGTGTTATTATATACATTCACAGCAGTTATACTGATTAGGAAAAATGTGATGCTAATAGAAACTTGGTAGAAAATTTTTCATATCTAATTCAACCCACCATCCCTACAGAGTTGAGAAATGGCTTACAGCAGACACCACAAATATTCATGGCAAGGCTGGTTCCCTCCTGCAGCTCGCCTGTGTCTTGCCTGGGGGAAGAACCAATTGCTAGCAAGGAACCTGTGATTTTTCTACGTTTAATGGGAAAACCAATATTGTGTAAAGGCAGCTATTAATGATAACAAGACAGTCTAAAGCTGTAGTTCTCAACAAATGAGATGCTTTGAGTAGCATTGGAGCATGAAGATTAACCGAAGCCAGGTAGGAGTCACTGGAAACACTTGTTTTCTTTGTAGCTTTTTTTTTTTTTCCCTGTAGCTCCTCACTTCCTAAGGAAGTCTCAGAGGTTTTGTTAGGGTCAAGCGTCAAGGAGAAATCAGAAAAGTAGTCAAAAGCAGATGCTTAAGGATGAGTAAAAAACTGGAAAATCATGTACTGATTCATTCTTTGAACAACTGTCACAGTCAGTTTCTACAGTGCCTCATCTTAAATTGCCTCTTTCTTATTCATTGTGCATTTTAAAAATAACGAGCTGATGTTTGTGGAGGTGGAAGGATGGGGGATAAGGAAATGAGCTTAATTTAGGAAATCTAGCTGTAGAGCCATGAACGTAAAATACAATACTTTCCTTAACAATGAATTCTCCAAAATAATTCTCTCAAGAAATAATGATGTTTCAAATTTAACCTTTTGGGTTTAAAGGATCTGCTGATTTTGCACCTTGTAGTATATTCGTGTGAGTGAGGAGACTCTGTGTCCTTTTTCAAGCCCCTTATTTTATGAACAGGTTATCTCATTATTTTTAATAGCAAGGAATTATTTTTAGTAATGAGATCACTTCTGACATCTTGGTATCACGATTAATACATAATCCTTAATTCTGGATCAAAGCATAAGAGTGAAAGAAAGCTATATACATACAGACAAATGTTTGTATGTGTGTGTGTAAACACAGGATAGCTTACAGATGTTTGAGGAAAATGAAACCCAAGAATGGTGTCTCTAGTTTGTAGGAGTCTCCATTTTTTATATTACTAAGAGAAACAGAGAAGACTGGGAAAGTGAGGAGAATGAGAAGGTATGGAGAAGGTAATGTTCTAGGTATGGGAAACATGGCAATGACATAAAATGGCTTTTTTTTTGTAAGTAGTGATGGTGGGATGGACGTGTTAGTGGGAGAACAAGTTAACACTATGAAGCAATTCTGCACTTCATCTAACCGCTGTGCTGAGATTACACTGCTGTGCCTTGCCATCTGGTACAGCTGGAGCAAGTAGTGGGCCTTCCTACAGATCTTTGTAGGTGAGAAAGAAAGAAGAAGAAAAGCAGTATAGATAGCATCAGGTGCTTAGGGGTATGATTTAGTGGGGCACATGGTTTAGTGGTTGATCTGTCACTTAGGTTTGTGGTTGGACCTGATGATCTTAAGGGTCTTTTCCACCCTAAATGATTCAATGATTCTGTGATTCTGTGGGTTGTGGTTCAGTGTCTGGCTGAAGAGGAGACTCATGCTAGTGGAGAACCTAAAGAAGATGTTGGTTTGCTTCTTGAAGCATCAGTGGCTAGGACGTGGTATCCTGGTTCTGGCCAGGTTAATTTTTGCATCAGCTAGAAGGGGCAGGGCCAGGACCCCGGAGTTACTGGATACCACCTCACGCCATGTGCAGGGGAGATGGAGGGTTTTCTTCTGTCTTTGCTGGGGTGTTCAATTGGGCGGCGTGTGCTGAGCACTCACATGTGAATTGTTCACCTCTCTTGTACACTCTTAGTTCTGTTGTTGTTACTGTTAGTTTTCCTATTTCATTACTGTTTCTAGGAAATTGTTCTTATCTCAACCTGTGATCTTCACTTTTTTGTGCATGCAGTTCTTCTCTCCATCCCACTGCAGGGGGAGGTAGGTGGAAGTGAGTGAGCAGCACGTGGTCTGAGGTGTTTTAGTGGGAATGCTTAATTGGGGAATACCATTCCTAAACCATGACACATGGCTCTCTCATAGCTAAAGGTGGGAAAGAAGATACAGATGATCGTGTCTAAAAGTGGCTGGCGGGAATGTGGTGCGGAAAGGGCAGAAGGTACCTTTGCAGCTGGAACCTGTACAGCTGGATGGTCCTTAGACCAATATTTCACAGGCTTTAGTGCCAATAGATGACAGTTCCATAGTGCCAATACACCACTACTGGTTGTTTTGTGTTGGAGTAGTGGTTACTGTGTAACCTCAGCTTAAGTGGCAAGGAAAGTGAGATGAGGAACAGCTGTAGTGGTGAACCACCCTGGTTTTTTTTTAAATGAGTCAGACCCTCGTGGTCATTTTGGCTAAAATTCAAAAAGTGGGACATATACTTTCTATTGAATTATTCTTTTTTCTTATGGAAGGTGAGAGTGAAATTACTTCAGACAAATACGTTCACTGTTGGGTTTTGCCACTGGATGTGGTTTTTGTAAATGGTTGTTATCTCATGTGAAACAAAAGGGGGGAAAATTGTTTTCAAAGCAGATGATAATGTTGCAAATATGCAGCATCCAGAGAGCTGGTCTGACACTGCCTTATTGAAATCAGTTTTTACTGATTTAACTTGATTGACAGGAAAATGTATTTGAATATGTTTGCAAGACAGGAAAAGGAGTGGTTTGGTCAAGCTGTCAAGATGTTTACACCATAG